AAGTGTATAGTAATAATAAGAATAGGTCATCCAATGTCTATGATAAGCCTGTATACCAGTAGAGATATATGGACGTTATCTAATCGACTACCAAAATGATTGATCATTCAGATTGTATCCAGATTGGGTCTCGCATTGTTGCAAAATGGTATAGTAATCCAATAGATGGATATCAATACCTCAAGGCCTACCTTACAAGCATCAGTATAAGGTACTGGAGAGTAGAATGGGAAGATGAGAATCATGGCAGACCTCGGTATAAATACTTGCTAACATATGAAGATTTGCCGTTTGTCCAGGATGTTCCTCCCAAGCACGAAGAGTTACAAGTAGGCACCAGGGTGTTAGCACCTTGGGGATATACATATTACACTGGTACCATCAAGACAGTAAGAGACAGATATAACAGATACCGAGTGAGAGCAGATGATGACGATGAGAAAGACTTTACAATAGATCAAATACGTGTACTTAAAGCACCTACATTTTGTAATTAACAAAAAATGATAAACTAAGTTTGCTTAAATAACTAAAATCGAATTGAAAATTTATTGCATGCAATTCATAGAAAGGATCGTTACATTAAAAAGGAACCGATCGCGATAGCGGTCAAGAAAAACTAATTGGATTTGAATTTGCTCATTTTCCACTTACACCACACAACTAATTTAGTGCAATGTTATCGCGTTTAGAAAATTAACAAAATCTATTAAACTTGGTCTCTTACTACAATGGATTAGGATCGTCTGATCTGTTGGCATTTGCTAAGTGCGACAGAATCGAAAAACTTGTCAAGGAAACCAGCATTCGGAGCCGGCCTGGTTGATTGATTCATATTTTTCTTTTATTGAAATAAACTGTTTTCTGGTCAAACCTGAGTATCAGACCCCAAGGAGAACCTGATACTCAGGTTAAATCCGCTCTTAAACCACAAAAAGACCATTGAGGAGCAAAGTTACCTACTACTCTTAAACCCAAGAAATTCCTAAAGAAAATTTGAAAGTTTCGAAAGCCGGGTTCCCTGTGATATGAACTTGTCGTGCAACATTACTTTGTTGCAAGTTGCAGAGCAAATGTTGTTCGTGCTCACTCCGCGAGCAACTATTATTCATTGTTGCGCGAGATAGAAACTTTTCTACTCTCTGCATTATATTCCTTTACTACCATTATATTTCTTTTATACTACCTTTGTATTCCATGTTTTACCAATTTTTAGAACTTGTTCAATGTATTATTGAGCAGAGACCATGGAGAAGGGTTACGACCCACCTCCACTTTTAATGTCCACTAAATCTCCATTTCTCTAAATTCTCATCTTCCCAACGCACACTTTCTGTGGTGTTCTGCGCATATCCTTGATTATCCGCAATAGGATGCCCCGATCTACCATGAGCTCGAAAATTGCTCAAAAATTTTAACTGAGTAAAAGCTTAGTGCAATCGTAGTCCATCCAAGACACGACCTCGTGTTTCTCTCGTGAACTTCTTTTGTGATCTGTTTACCTTGTTTCGTGTGAGAGGCGTTACAGCAACCGAGCAACAACAAATTGACAAAATAACACGCCTTTGTAATTATGGCACGGCATTTTTTTTTAAATTCAAAGGAGCCCACTTCCGAGATTGGAAATGTTGAACAAAAATGAAACGTGCACTTCCTGGTTCTTTAATTCCTGTGGTTCAATATCAACAGGACCTAATAGCACTTGACTGACAAGCCTTGCTGCACAAAAGCAGGGGGCTTTCAATACAGTCATTGTCAACATACTTACTTAAAATAAGACTTGAAGACCTAAAGAAATATCACGTAGTGATTTGTTTATTAAATGATATATATAAATTCGGTTTTAAAACTCATATGATRAGTAACAATGAACAAAGAATATAAAATATATGATCTTTGCATATACAATGATTGCTGGTATCGAGTACAGATCAATAGTGTATTAGGTACAACAATTAACATGTCTTGTGGCGTAAATTTCTTTATGAATGGACAACGTTCATGACATTGACTGTATGTATCCATCGCCACTGATAGGAATGTGACCTGTTCTGTTGGACGTACTTCTTCCTGTTTTTACCGGAATCAGATTACATCTTTTATTCAGCTGTGTCAGTGCTCGGCATCAACATTCATTTTGACTTGCAAACCTGATATTTGATTGTGGGTTTATCAGAAAACAAGAGGAAACCGGCCGATTGTTTGTATTTTCCGTATCATTGAGTCACCTGGTAGATGGCAAGGCATAAGGTATAGCTTTTCCCCTAAAAATGTTGTTTCAAAACTCATTGCAACTTTATGTGAAGATCGATTAACAATGACGATCAACACTAGAGACGCTATTCAAAACTTTTCGACATTATATTGTATTAGGCAGATTAAGATTCCCGTTTTTCCTTCCCGCAAACGGCAAACGTGACCACACTTTCATCGTTTCCCTACATTTCACTTTACTTTTCGCAAACCTTCTCGACAAAGACAAGTATTCTTTTGTTTATCTACCACTTGGAGATTTTTGCGATTCCTTTTCACTAATTTTAAAGAATTTTTTAATGGTCAACTGACATTTCACGTTTGCCGTAAACGAGAATCTTAAACTCTCTATTATTGAAATATCGGTTCCAAGATGGGAACTAATGATATGAATTGAGCAGCGTCCACTTCAGAAGTTGCAGTGATTAAGCTAAATTACAGATTTTACTAAAATCATGATTTTGACCCTAAAAAGAATATTAGCATACTCAACCTCCATCTCTTTAATTTAACTTCCTTAAATATTTTCGGGTAAAGTAATGCTTGTATGAGGTAAACGTAGTTCCAATACTAAGTGGTCTTGAAGTTAACTTTCTTTGAGTCGAAATTATGCTCTTAAAACTTTGAGAAGAAAATAATGTGCATTAAGAATGCAATATAAGCGAGAAATGTTTTTCTTGTTCCCAAATGTAGATTTGCTGTCTATTGACCTCATGGTTCATAATAGTGTTGTGTTGCTTATCTCGTACAGGCACGTCAAAAGGTAAGTTGAGATCCGTGGCGTAAGTAAAGTAAGTTAAGACACATTGCCATTCTCCTCGGCAGCCGTCATGTAGTTTCGGTCCCAGATCCTCACGGGAGACGGCCCATACTAATGCCATACTGGGGCTGTGTAATAAGCAAGGGTCAAAAACAGGGTGATAAATTTATGATTCATAAAAAGGTGCGCAATATGCACTTATGAACGTGTGGTTGTTAGGATATCTAGAAATTTGAATATAAACGTTCCCCCTAACGTATAACGTATGTCTTGATTTGTTGCCAATATCTTTCAGAGCGTTACACTCAATGTGGAATTCGTTCAGTGAGCAGCCGTGCAAAGGTAGTCAAAGGGAGTCGGTCTTATCCAGGCCAGTGGCCTTGGCAGGTTTCAATACATAAGACCAGGAAAGCTGATGGTTAGTAAAAATCGTTTCCCTTTTTTATAACGCCGATGTTTGTGCATTTTTCAACTCTGATGCTCATCAATAAAACTAAAAAGGGTATATACTAGTTGGCAGTTCTTCCTCAGTAAACGATTCGTTGGCAAACTTTATGTGGACGCAAACTCGGTATGTTAGCTCATTTAATGGTGCCGTGATGCATGCATCTTTTTCTTCTTGTCTTTTGGAATTTCTGTTCGATAATATCCCAAGGTCTTTATTTATTTATCTTTTATATTATTTATTTTTTGG